GTGTCAATGTCCTCAGAGTCTGGGACCAATCGCATGGGTCCAGCACCCCCAGGGCCATCAATAGGAGAAGCAGTGCCAGGCCATGATGGGAGTCCCTGCCTGCTTTAGTCGTCCTCTCTGGGGGCTCTTGGATCTAAACAAGAGGAAGAGATCATGGCAGATAAATAACTGAATGCTTATGTGTCTTCTGCAGGTTTTCGGAGCCCTCATTCCTGAGCATTCTGGAGTTTCTTCCCTGGGTTTTCTGAGTTTGCAGAGGCCTTGGTGTTGTAAATAAACTAGGATGCATATTGTCTGGCTGTGCACTGAGTGAACCCAAGAAACTCTCTGGTGGGCCACCGGGAGGGTGCCTGGGTGTCCTCAGGACCCCATCCTTCATTCCACGGTGTCCCCGCATTACTGAACTACCCACTCCCAATCTGCACATCAGCTTTGGCAGCCTGGGCTGTGAGCACCCACCCCTGTGGCTCAGAGCTGAGAAAGCTGGAAATGTAGCTTCTTCATTCCACCTCCTCCTCCGTTGGCTAACAGACACTCTTCCCTTCTGATGGAACTCACGATAACAACCGCCTATGATCTTCTCAAATTATTGTCTTGCTTCATCAGTTCTGGTCATCACAATGTCTCTATCACCCAGAAAGGGACCTGTGATTCCTACCATAAATGCTTGCCAAATGCACCACCGAGCGCATGAATGAATGCAGGGAAAATGTCAGATCATGGGGCTCACCTCTGTAGATTCAGAAATCCCCAGAAGCAGGTGATGGCTACTCTCCAGAGAAGATTCTGAGCTGCAAAGCTGGAAGAAACCTTCCAATTCTACTTCTACAGATTTCATCTCTTCCCTGTAACACTGTTCTCAGATGGACAGTGGTCTCCCAGGAACCCCCCTAACTAGCTCCTGTGTCATCCTCAACTCCATTCCTAATATCTGTCCTGACTCTCTTTGAGATTAACAAAACTGTATTCGGGACCTATCTTTTTATTTCTTTACTAAGAATTACTAAAGGCATACATGCTTATTGTAAAAATTCAAATAATATGGAATAGAGAAGGAGAATTTCTTCATCCTCTGGAAACCTCAGTCTTTGCTCTTAGGCCCTCACCAGATTGAATGAGACCCACTCATATTATGGAGGGTTCTCTGCGTTACTCAAAGTTAACTGATTTCAGTGTTAATCACATCTAGAAAATATCTTCCCAGCAACATCTTGACTGGTGTTTGACCAAACCATTGGACATCATCACTTAGCCATGATGACACATCAAATTAGCCATCACACCAGAGATGCAAGCATCCAAAAGAAAGCATCAGGCAATGAAAGCTAAGGGTTTATCATCCAGAAAAACCATACTATGATCAAGTTGGGTTTACGACAGGGAATGCCAGAATGGCCGCACGTCAGAAAAATCTGTCAATATGATTCTCCACGTTAGTAGAGTCAAGGAGAAAAATCATGGTGTTAGTTCAGTTAGCGCAGAAAAACACACTCAGGGACAGATCCCATGTGTGTGGGGGGAACGTATACACCATGGAGGGGGCGTCCCAATCTAGACTGGGACACGGGCCTCTTGTAAGGGACAAGAAACATGGTGGCTCCCTCCTTGACACCATCAGAGGTGACTCCTAATGGATTGAGGACCCAAATGTGATAGACAAAACTGTGAAGGGAACAGAAGGAGAAGTATGAGAAAACATTTTTGCCTTTGAGATGGGTTGGGCTTTTCAACCCACAGCTCAAAGATATAACCCATAAGGCAAAATGCTCATGAATTTGATTCTGTGTGAGCTCAGGATTTCTGTCCAATGAATGACCTCATGGAGAAAGTCAACAGACATGACTGAGTGTGAGAGGTCCCTGCTGCCCAAGGATTGCCATGGATGATAGTGGTTCCCAAAGTGTATTCTGGGGAGCCCTGGGGGGTTCTCAAGACTCTTTCCACTGGTCTGTGATGTGAAAACAATTTCTTAATAATACTAATATGTTGCTTGTCTTTTCCACTCTCCTTCTACATAACAGACTGAATCAGAAGCTGATATGAGAATCTAGCTATCATGTATGAAGCCAGACATTTTGCAAAAATGTAAGCAATACTACTCCTCTCTCACAGGTTTTTTCCCTCAGAAGATGTAGTTGTGTTTTCATGCAAGTATATTATTTATTTTAATATGTAATGGATTTACCATTGTTATATATAGGAGAATTAATAAACATATTTCTCAAATTTCCCAGTTTAATTTTTATTATGGTAAATATGAGATGAATTAATATGTGAATAAAATATTTCTATCCATATAAATAAATACAACATAAATATAATGCATATAAACAAAAGCTCTTTGTTGTCTTCAGTAATTTTTAAGAGTATAAAGGGATCCTGAATACATGTGTGTCCAAATCTCCTTTTCCTTTCTCTCGTAAAGACACCAGTCATTGGGTTCAGTCCTACCCTAAATCTGGAATGATTTCATCTTGGGATCCTTAACTAATTATATCTTCAAACATCTTCTATCCAAACAAGATCACATTCGGAGGTTCCAGGTGGACGTGAATGTTGGGGGAACACTACTCAACCCTCTATACCCCAAGGTTAAGGACACTCTAACCACGATTGCTGCCCTCACTCTTTCCAATCCCCCGGGGCTGCTTGGTTTGTGCAAAACTCTGTCAAATGAGGAGGACTTTGAGCTCCTGGGTTTAACTGGAATGACTCACTGGGTTTGTGGTTTTAGTGTGTAGCTAAATATATCAGTCTTTCATTCAGTATAAAAGGGTGCTGATATGAGCCTACCTCAGCCAGACTCCCAAGACGTCCTGGCCCCACACGATCCCTGCTTCCAGCTCCGTGGCCAGAGTCCTGCTCCTCCTTGGTATGGTGGTCCAAGCTCCAATCTCCCCTGTCACAGGCCCAGCCCCTACCCCCAGCCTAAACCCATCTCTAACCTGTCTCAACTCCAATCTCATCTCACCTGACCAACTCGGCTCCATCCATTCTCCCAACTCCATCCCCAACTCCACACCTAACCCCACTGCTAAACCAACCCATCTCCAACCCCTACCCCATATGAGCATCCTATCCCTCTCTTTCTCCTCCATCCCAAGTTCATCACCATCACTAATCCAATTCTCAGACCCTATCTGTCCTTAACTTGCCCTTCCTTCATCGTCACCTGGCCCCAGACTTCAGGTCCTCACTCCTTTCTCTCCCCTAATAGGTTTCTGCCTTCTGTTTTCCCCATTCTCTGAGCCAATTTAGGTCAACTCCAGGAGCCAGGAGGAGCCAGGTAAGGTACTGGCGGTTTTCAGGGGGTGATGGGTGATGGACGGCAATGAGTCGAGTGGAGATCCTGGTGCAGTGGGCGCTGAGTGAGGGATTGTCATAATCCATTGACTGTAACTCCATGGGGAAAGGGATTTTGTTCCTTATTCACTGTTTCTCTAGTTTCTGGCGCTTGATAAAAGTCTGTTGGATTGTTTAGTGTATAAAGCCCTCCTTCTCTATGGCCACCTTCTTTTGGCCTCTGGTATCTCCCCCTGCACTTCTGCATCACAGCTGCCCCTGGTCCTCCTGATGATCCTCTTTTCTCAGCTTCTGAGCTCCATCTCCTACTTTCCTCACCTGATGGAGCTCTTCTCCATGTTCGGTCCTTGACCTCCTGATGTTATTTTCTACCTTCTTCCCTAGACGAACTCATCTGCCTCCACGGCTTTTGTAAGCATAATCCTCAAATTGGTAAAAGGCATAGTTTTCATGCAAGTAGGTCATGAGTGCGTTTCAAACTTTATTGAACTTGTTCCTGAAGGACCCAGAAGGATAACAAGCTGATTCAGAAGGGGTATGAGAGACTGAGATTATAGAGCCAGTGGGAAATGATGGTGAAATAAGATTGCTGAGGAAGATACAGAAGTAGTTAAGATCCTAGAGGGCAATTCAACTCTAACTGATGGGGTTACCTTCTCTACTAGACAGGAAATTTAAATAAAATCTTCTTATTGTTCTACAGCATAACCCAACTTTACAGAGTTAGAAAACACCTGGAGACCTATATTAATTGTGAAGAGTCAGTTAAAAAATAAGTTCCAATTCCAGAGAGATCCTCAAAAAGGCACATTATAAATTCTCTAGCATGACATTGAAATCATCTTTTAATCTTGTTTTTTAAGTCTTGGTTAATTTCCCTGCACAGAGCCCCTGAGATCATGTTATCTCTAAAGGTAATTACTGATAAAATCTACTGACTCTAAGTAAAGGAGATTTTCCTAGATAATCTGGGGAAACCTGACTCCATCATTTGTAAGGCCCTAAGAGATGCAGTGGTGGTCTAGTGGTTAAGGTTTGGCTTGGTCACCACCGTGGTCTGGGTTTCTTCCCCAGTTGGGGAACCACACCACTCGTCTGCTGTTGTCATACTGTTGTGGCCACGTGTTGTTGTGATACTGAATGCTATGCCACCAGGATTTCTAATACCAGCAGGGTCACCCATGGTGGACAGGTTTCAGCACAGTTTCCAGACTAAGACAGACTAGGAGGAAGGACCTGGTCACCCACTTCTGAAAAAAATTGGTCATGAAAACCCTCTGAATACCAGAGGAGCGTTGTCTGATGGAGCGCCAGAAGGTGAGAAGATGGCGCAGAAAGACCCTGTAGGGTTCTGCTCTGCTGTCCACAGGTCACTAGCAGTCAAAATCGACTTGACGGCACTAACAACAAAAGAGATGCAGAACTGAGATTTCCGTAAGGAAGAAGAAATTTTGTCTCGGAAGTGTAACATCTGATCCTGCCTGAGAGTTTCCAGCCTGTCCTATGGAGTTTGGACTTGTCTGGCCAGCCCCCTCAAGGAGCATACTCCAATTCTTTGCAATAAATAAATACATACATATATACGCACACACACACATATACATACGTGTTTGTGTACATATGCGTGTGTGTGTGTGTATCCTCCCAGCTCTGTGTCCCTGGAGGACCCCTATGATATCTGGGTCTCACTCTGGTGTCCGGGTTCCATGACTGAAGCCTCACCTACACTCTGCTCAACTAGATTGAAATCAGCTCAGTGGTCTCCTAGGAAACAGAGTGTTGTGATGACAACTTTTTCTAGGAAGAGGGGAGCTCTATATATGCAGAACGAGAGGAGAGATTTTATTTTGCCTATAAATTATTTTCCCACGTGCTCTTGAGTGTCTCTGTCTTTAAAAAGTGGACACTGAGAACTGAGAACTTGTGTTCACTCAATCCCTCATTTATTCCACAGAATTTTTGAACCCCCAGAACAAGCGAGCCCTTGCTGTGCTGTGTCCGAGGACATGGAGATGACATTATGACCTCTCCCTGCCTCACAGACGACACAGTCCAGTGTGGGGGAGGAGGACCCTAAGCAAGTGTGTGGGTTATCTACTGCCACATAACAAATCACCCCACAGCTTAGCGGCTGAGAACAACCAGCACGTGTTACCTCTCCATTTCCAGCGGTCGGGAATCGGGGGTCCCAGCGGGTGCCTGTGGCTCTGGGCCCCTCCCAAGGCTGCAGTCAAGGGGCTGCTGGGGCTGCAGTCACCTCAAGGTGGAAGATCCGCTTCCAAACTCACTCGCGGGCAGTGGGCAGGATCAGGCGCTAGCCGGCTGGGGGTGGGAGGCATCAGTCCAGGCCTTGTGGCCTCTCCATGGGGCAGCTCACAACATGGCAGCCGGCCTCCACAGAGCGAGCAAGGGAGGGAGAGAGGGCGGGCGAGACAGAAGCCAGAGTGTTTCCGTAACCTAATCCCAGAAGGGGCATCCCAGCCCTTTTGCCATATTTTATTGTTAAAAGTAGTCATAGGTCCTGGTTTTAGAACAAATTGAGATTCCTGTCCTCTGACCTGTGCCCTCAGATGTCCCCAAGGATCTCTCTGGTGGGCCTCAGAGAGGTCATCGTGATCTCTTGCGAGGGCTCCTGGCATGTCCTCAGGGCCCCAGCCTTCACTCCACGGTGTCCCTGCATTACTGAACTACCCACTCTCAATGTGCACATCAGCTTCGGCAGCCTGGGCTATGAGCACCCCAGCCCTGTTGCTCAGAGCTAAGAAAACTGGAAATGTAGCTTCTTCATTCCACCTCCTCCCCTATTGGCTAATATGCATTCTTCCCTCCTGATAGAAGTCATGCTAACAACCACCTATGATCTTCTCACTTATTTTCTTGCTTCATCATTATTTCTTTATTAAATATTACTAAAGCCATACTGGCTCATTGTAAAAATTCAAATAATACAGAATAAAGAAGGAAAATTTCTTCACCTTCTAGAAACCTCAGTCTTTGCTCTCAAGGCCCTCAATGGATTGAATGAGGCCCACCCACATTATGAGGGTTCTCTGCTTTACTCAAGGGCAACCGATTTCAATGTTAATCACGTCTACAAAACATCTTCCCTGCAACATCTAGACTGGTGCTTGATCAAACAACTGGGCCACCACTTAGCCACGGTGGAACATCAAATTAGCCATCACACCAGAGATGCAAATATCCAAAAGAAAGCATTAGGCAATGGAAACTAATGGTTTATCAACCAGAAAAACCATATTATGATCAAGCTGGGTTTATGACAGGGAATGTCAGGATGGCCCCACATCAGAAAATCTGTCAAGATGATTCCCTACGTTAGTAGAGTCAAGGAGAAAAATCCTGTTTTTATTTCAATTGATGCAGAAAAACACACTCAGAGACAGATTCCTGTGTATGTGGGGGTGGTATACACCGTGGAGGGGGCGTCCCGATCTAGACTGGGACACTGGCCTCTTGTAAGGGACAAGAGATGTGGTGGCTCCTTCTTTGACACCGTCAGAGGGGACTCCTAATGGATTAAAGACCAAGATGTGATAGGCAAAACTATGAAGGGAATAGAAGGAAAGTATCAGAAAATCTTTTTGCCTTTGAAATGGGAAGGACTTTTTTTTTTTAATTTTTTTATTGAAGTCACAATAGTTTATAACATTGTGAAATTTCAGTTGTACCTTATTATTTGTCAGTCACCATATATATGTGCCCCTTTACCCCTTTCACCTTCCCCCCACCCCCTCCCCTCTGATAACCACTAATCTGTTCTCTTTGTCAGTGTGTTTATCTAGGAGTGAAATCATCCGGTGTTTGTCTTTCTCTGTCTGGCTTATTTCGCTTAACATAATACCCTCAAGGTCCATCCACGTTGTTGCAAATGGGACGATCTTGTCTTTTTTTCTGGCTAAGTAGTATTCCACTGTATATATAATACCACGTCTTCTTGATCCAATCCTCTGTCAATGGGCACTTGGGTTGCTTCCACATCTTGGCTATTGTGAATAATGCTGCAATGAACATAGGGGAGCATAAGTCTCTTTGGATTGTTGATTTCAAGTTCTTTGGATAAATACCCCGTAGTGGGATAGCTGGGTTGTATGGTGTTTCTGTTTTTAATTTTTCAAGTACTCTCCATACTGTTTTCTGTAGAGGCTGCACCAGTTTGCACTCCCACCAGCAGTGTATGAGGGTTCCCTTTTCTCCACAACCTCTCCAACATTTGTTATTTTTTGTCTTGGTGATTATAGCCATTCTCACGGGTGTAAGGTGGTATCTTAGTGTAGTTTTGATTTGCATTTCCCTGATGATTAGTCATGTGGAACATCTTTCCATGTGCCTGTTGGCCATCTGTATATCTTCTTCAGAAAAATGTCTGGTCATATCCTCTGCCCATTTTTTGATCAGGTTATTTGTTTTTTTGTTGTTGAGTTGTGTGAGTTCTTTGTATATTTTGGAGATTAACCTCTTGTTGGATATATGATTTGCAAATATTTTCTCCCAGTGAGTGGGTTGTCTTTTCGTTTTGATCCTGGTTTCCTTTGTCTTGCAGAAGCTCTTTAGTCTGATGTAGTCCCATTTGTTATTTTTTCTTTTGTTTCCCTTGCCCAAGTAGACATGGTATTTGAAAAGATCTTTCTAAAACTGATGTCAAAGAGTGTACTGCCTATATTTTCTTCTAGGAGTTTTATAGTTTCAGGCCTTACCTCCTAGTCTTTAATCCATTTTGAGTTAATTTTTGTGTATGGTGTGAGATAATGGTCTACTTTCATTCTTTTGCAAGTGACTGTCCAGTTTTCCCAACACCATTTACTGAAGAGACTTTCCTTTCTCCACTGTATACTCTTAGCATCTTTGTCAAAGATTAGCTATCTGTAAATGTGTGGTTTTACTTCTGGGCTTTCAATTCTGTTCCATGGATCTGTGTGTCTGTTGTTGTGCCAGTACCATGCTGTTTTGATTACTACGCTTTGTAGCATATTTTGATGTCAGGGATTGTGATACCTCCAGCTTTATTCTTTTCTCTCAGGATTGCTTTAGCTATTCGGGGTCTTTTGTTGCCCCATATGAATGCTAGTATTCTTTGTTCTATTTCTGTGAAGACCGTCCTTGGGATTCTGATTGGGATTGCATTGAATCTGTAGATTGCTTTAGGTAGTATGGACATTTTAACTATGTTTATTCTTCCAATCCATGTGCATGGAATATCTTTCCATTTCTTTACGTCATCGTCGATTTCTTTCAATATGGTTTTATACTTTTCATTGTATAGGTCTTTTGCCTCCTTGGTTAAGTTTATTCCTAAATATTTTATTCTTTATGTTGCAATTGTAAATGGAATTGTGTTCTTCAGCTCTCTTTTCTCTTAGTTCATTATTAGAGTATAGAAATGCATCTGATTTTTGTAAGTTGATTTTGTACCCTGCAACTTTGCCGTAGTTGTTGATTATTTCTAACAGTTTTCCGACAGATTCTTTAGGGTTTTCTATATGTAGAATCATGTCATCTGCAAACAGCGAGAGTTTAACTTCTCCTGGGAAGGACTTTTTAATCCACATCTCAAAAACAAAATCCCTAAGGCAAAATGCTGATGAATTTGATTCTGTGTGAGTTCCGGATTCCTGTCCAATGAATGACCCCATGGAGAAAGCCAACAGACGTGACTGAGTGTGAGAAGTCACTACTGTCCAAGGATTGCCATGGAGGAGAGTGATTCTCAAAGTGTGCTCTGGGGAACCCTGGGGGGATCTTAAGGCTCTTTCCAGTGAGTAGTCTGTGACATGAAAACAATTTCCTAATAATACTAAGATGTTACTTGTCCTTTCTACTCTCCTTCTACATAACAGACTGAATGCAGAAGCAGAAATGAGAATCTAGCTTTCTTCTATGAAGCCAGACATTTTGAAAAAATGTAAAACAGCACCACATCTCTCACAGATATTTTCTTCTCAGAAGATATAGTTATGTTTTCATACAAGTATATTATTTATGTTAATATGTAATAGATTTATCATTGTTATGTTTAGGAGAATTAATAAACATATTTCTCAAATTTCTCGCTTTAATTTTTATTATGGTAAATATAAGATGAATAAGTATATTTAAAAATATTTGTATAAATACAAATATAAATAAATATAATGTAAATATAATGCATATAAACAAAAGCTTTTTGAGGCCCTCAATAATTTTAAGAGTATAAAGGAGTCCTGAATACATGTGTGTCCAAATCTTCTCTTTTCCCTCATGAAGACACCAGTCATTGAGTTTTAGGGTTTGGCTAAATATGTCACAGTCCCTTTTCCCATATAAAGGCATGGTGGTCTGAGTCCACCTCAGGCGGACTCCCAAGAAGTCCTGGCCCTACACGATCCCTGCTTCCAGCCCCATGGCCATAGTCCTGCTCCTCCTTGGTATGGTGGTCCAAGCTCCAACTTTTCCCATCCCAGGCCCAGCCCCTACCCCCAGCTAAACTCATCTCTACCTCAAACTCATCTCCACCTCCGGTCCCATTCAAACACCCCCAACCCAGCTTCACCCACTCTCCCAACTCCATCCTCAACCCCAAACCTAAACCCCTTGCCAACCCAACTGCATCTCTGACCCCTACCCCATCTGAGCATCCTATCCCTCTCTTTCTCCTCTATCCCCAGTTCATCACCATCACCAACCCTATTCGCAGATCCTATCTGTCCTTAACTTAACCCTCTCTGTCCCTTCCTTCATCCTCACCCTGCCTCGACTTCAGGTCCCCACTTCTTTCTCTCCTCTAATAGGCTTCTGCCTCCTGTTTTCCCCATTCTCTGAGTGAATTCAGTCTCCTCCAAGAGCCAGGAGGAGCCAGGTAAGGTACTGGTGGTTTTCAGGGAAGGATGGATGATGGATGGCAATGAGTTGAGTGGAGATCCCGGGGCAGTGGGCACTGAGTGAGGGATTGTCATAATCCATTGACTGTAACTCCATGGAGGAAGGGATTTTACTCTTTTTTCGCTGTTTCCCTAGTTTTTAGGCACTTGATCAATGTCTGTTGGATTGTTTAATGTATGAAAACCCTCCTTCTCCGTGACTACCTTCCTTTCAGCCTCTAGTATCTCTCCCTGTACTACCCCGGTCCTCCTGATGATCCTCTTTTCTCACCTTCTGAGCTGCATCTCCCCCTTTCCTCACTGATGGAGCTATTCTGCAGGTTTGGTCCTTGACCCCTGGTACTATTTTCTACCCTCTCCCCTGGATGAACTCATCTGCCTCCACGGTTTTTGTAAGCGTAATCCTCAAATTTTTAAAAAGTGTATTTCTCATTCAAATAGGTCATGAGTGCATTTCAAATTTTATTGAACTTGTTCATGAAGGACCCAGAAGGATGACAAGCTGTTCAGAGGGGATATGAGAGACTGAGATTATAGAGCCAGTGGGAAATGATGGTGAAATAAAATTGCTGAGGAAGATACAGAAGTGGTTAATGTCCTACAGGGCAATTCAACTCTAACTATGGGGTTCTTCCTATTTGACAAGAAAAAATTTTCAAATCTTATTTTTCTGCAGCTTAACCTAACATTACACAATTATAAAACACCTGGGCCCGTATCAATTGCGAAGAGTAAATTTTTAAAAAGTTCCATTTCCAGAGAGACCCTCAAAGGTACACATTACAAATTCCCTAGCATCACATTGGAAATCATCTTTTAACCTTATTTTTTAAGTCTTGATTATTTTCCCTGCACAGAGCCCCTGAGATCATGTTATCTCTAAAGGTAATTACTGATAAAATCTATTGACTCTAAGTAAAGGAGATTTTCCTAGATAATCTGGGGAGACCTGATTCCATCATTGGACAGGCCCTAAGAGAAGCAGCAGTGGTCTTGCGGTTAAGATTCAGGGCTCTCACCACGGTGGCCTGGGTTCATTTCCTGGTCAAGGCACCACTCCACTCATCGGTTGGTTGTCATACTGTGGCAGCTGCGTGTTGCTGTGAGGCTGAATGCTATGCCACTGGTAGGTCAAATACCAGCAGGGTCAGCCATGGTGGACAGGTTTCAGTGGAGCTTCCAGACTAAGATAGACTAGGAAGAAGGACCTGGCCACACACCTCTAAAAAAAATTGGCCATGAAAACCCTCTGAATAGCAGTGGAGCATTGTCTGATAGAGGGCAGGAAAGTAAGAGGATGGCACTAAAATACCGGGCAGGCGTCTGCTCTGCTGTCCTCAGGGACGCTAGGAGTCGGAATAGATTCCATGGCACTAACAACAAAAGAGAAGCAGAACTGAAGTTTCCCTGAGGAAGAAGAAATTTTGTCTTTGAAGTCCAACATCTGCTCCTGCCTGAGGGTTTCCAGCTGGCCCTCTGGGTTTTTGGACTTATCTGGCCAGCCATCCAAAGGGCATAAGCCAATTCTTTGCAATAAATAAATAAGTAAACACACACGCACACGTAGGCACACATACACACATACATGTTTGTGTACCTATGCACATATGTGTGTGTATATATCCTCCCGGCTCAGTGTCCCTGGAAGACCCCTGATGATATATGGGTCTCACTCTTATGTCCTGTTTCCCTGACTGAAGGGAAACAGGACATATCCCTATCCTCTGCTCAACTAGACTGAAATCAGCTCAGTGGTCTCCTAGGAAACAGAGTGTTGTGATGACAACTTTTGCCAGGAAGAGGGAAAGCTCTATATATGCTGAACCAGAGAAGAGATTTTATTTTGCCGATAAATTATTTTCCCATGTGCTCTTGAGTGTCTGTGTCTTTAAAAGTGGGCACCGTGAACTAATAACTCGTGTTCATTCAATCCTGCATTTATTCCACAAACTTTTGAACCCCCAGCACAAGCGGGCCCTTGCTGGGCTGTGTCCGAGGACACGGAGATGACATTATGACCCTCCCTGCCCCACAGACCACACAGCCCAGTGTAGGGGAGGAGGACCCTAAACAAGTGTGTGGGTTATCTACTGCCACATAACGAATCACCCCATAGCTTAGTGGCTGAGAACAACCAACATGTGTCACCTCTCCATTTCCAGTGGGCAGGAACTGGGGGTCCCAGCGGGTGCCTGTGGCTCTGGGTCCCTCCCAAGGCTGCGGGCAAGGGGCTGCTCGGGCTGCAGCCACCTCAAGGTGGACGATCCCCACTTCCAAACTCACTGACATGGCAGTGGGCAGTGGGCAACCTAATCCCGGAAGCAACATTCCATCCCTTTTGCCATATTTTATTTGCTAGAAGCCAGTGCAACCTACAGGCAAAGGGGAGTAGATCCCAGAAGGGCATGAATACATTGGAACATGAGGGATAGTTGGAGGCCATCTTAGCAGTTGCCTATCACAAGTAGTCAAGTTAGGGTGGTTATAAATGTGACCGTGGCTCCATCTGGTGGGAAAGGATGGCAAATAACAGAGTATGTGACAAAGTGGAAAGTTTTCTTTTTTTGGTGAGGAAGATTGGCCCTGAGCTAACATCTGTGCCCATCTTCCTCTATTTTGTATGTGGGACGCTGCCACAGCATGGCTTCATGAGTGGTGCGTATGTCCGCACCCAGGATTCGAACCTGCAAACCCCGGGTCACTGAAGCAGAGCACATAAACTTAACCACTACACCACCTGGCCGGCCCCTGGGAAGTTTTACTCTTAATAGTTTTGACTCCATGGTTGTGTTGCCACAGGAAACCCAGGACGCCCAGTTAAATTTGAATTTCAGAAAAACAACAAATACTTTTTTTAGTATAAGTATGTCCCATGCAACATTTGGGACATACTTATACTAAAAAGAACTCGTTGAACATCCAAGGAGGGGCCTCCAGGAGGCCTGTGGTTATCCAAGCCTGGCGCTCAGAGAGAGGGGGTGCGGTCTGCAGAATAATGCCCCCCCCAAAGACATCCACATCCTGATCCCCGGAACCTGTGAATATCTTATGCTCCATGCAAAAGAGAATGTGCACCCGTGATTAAATCAAGGCTGTAGAGATTGAGAGATTATTCTGGATTATCTGGGTGGGCCTGTTATAATCACAATGGTCTTTACAAGTGCGATGGTTTGAATTGGGTTTCCCAAAAAGATATGTGAAAGTCCTATCCCCTGGGACTTCAGAATGTGACTTTATTTGGAAATAGGGTTGTTGTAGATGTAATTAGTTAAATTATAATTTAAAATATAATGATGTCCTACTGCAGTTGGGTGGGTTCTTAATTCAATATGATGATGTCTGGATAAGAAGACGAGGTGAAGATACGAGGGAAAACACCATGTTAGCATAGAGGCAGAGAGCGCAGTGACACAGCCAGAAGCCAAGGAAAGCCGAGGCCACCACCAGAAGCTGGAAGAGGCCAGGAAGGATTCCCCTACAGGGTCAGAGGGAACACGGCCCTGCCAACACCTTAATTTTATACTTCTAGCCTCTAGAACCATAAGACTATAAGTTTCTGTTATTTCAAGCCACCCTGTTTGTGGGACTTTGTTTCAGCAGCCCTGGAAAACTACTACAATAAGGAAAAGAGGGATGGCAGAGAGAGAGGAGATGTGACAATGAAAGCAGACGTCAGAGAGCGAGAGATTTGAAGATGCTACACTGTTGGCTTTGCAGATGGAGAAGAGACCACGAGCCAAGGAAGGCAGGCAGCCTCTAGAAGCTGGAAAAGGTTAGGAAGTGCCTTCTCCCCTAGAGCTTCCAGAACGAGCATGGCCCTGCTGACGCCTTATTTTAGCCCCGTGTGACCCTTTTCAGAGTCCTGTGCTGTGCTCCAGAATGGCAAGATAATACGTGTTGTTTTAAGCCACTAAGTTTGTGGTCATTTGTTACAGCAGCCACAGGAAACTAACACAGCTGGGCTGAGGGCAAACAAGTAGGCAGGGAGGGAAAGTAATTAGAGATAGAGGCGTGGGAATGAACGAGGTCAGGGCGAAAGGGTGGAGACGCCAGAGGGCCTGAGTACCACGCACAGACCACGGAGGAGGAGGTCCCGAGGGAGGCTGGTAAGAAGCAATCAGAGAGATGACAGAAGCGCAAGGACAAAGCCCCAGGTCTGACGCCTGTCACTCAAGTAGTCAGCGGGAAGCTCCCACTTCTCAGGGAAGGTCCCAAGGTCACCTCTGTGCTGATGGCTTCCCCATGCAGCTCTCCCACCCAGCCCTGTCCCTGGAGCCCCAGGTATCTTTCCATCTTAGTAGCAATTATGTGGAAACCATAGGTTGCAAGTTCCGGATGTATAAAAGGGAAACTTGAATGAAGAGATTGGGGACACTGTGTTTCCCACTGAGATCTGATAAAGGTGCTGGTTCAATGGTAAAAACAGAAAATCCACAAGAGCAAGAACTTGTCTGTTTTGCTCACCTCTGGGTTCCTGGGGCCTAGACAGCAGCTCTCAATGGGGGCGGTTATGCACCCCAAGAGACATTTGACAATGAGATGTTTTTGGCTGTCACAACTAGGGTCCAGACAGGTTGTCACAACTACTGTCATCTAGTGGGTAGAGGCCAGGGATGATGCTAAACATCCTACAGTGCACAGCACAACCCCCTCGACACACGCGCACACACAACAAAGAATGATCCCGCCTGTGGTAGACAGAATAATGGCCCCCAAAGATGTCCGCGTCCTAATCCCCAGAACCTATGGATGTGTTCGATTATACGATGAAGGAGAATTAAGGCTGCAGATGAAATTAAGGCTGCCTTATCAACTGACCTTAAAATCGGGAGTTTATCCTGGATTATCTGGGTGGACCCAATATGATAATACAGATCTTTAAAAGTGGAAGACAGAATAGGAAAAGAGACCCACAGAGATGGCAGCATGAGAAGGATGCTGATGTTGCTGGCTTTGAAGATGGAGGAAGGGGCCACGAGCCAAGGAAAGCCTGTGTGGCTTGTAGAAACTGAAAAAGGCAACAGATTCTCCACTAGAGCCCCCCCACCCCAAATAAAGGAACACAGCCCTGCTGACATCTTGATTTTAGCTCATGAAGACCCATTTTGGCCTTTCGACCTTTAGAACTGTAAGGGAATAAAAAGTGTTGTGTTTCAAGCCAGTAAATTTGTGGTCTTCTGTCACAGCAACCATAGGAAACTAACACAGGCACCAACTGTCAGTAGAGCTGGAGTTGAGAAAGTCTGGCCTAGCACTATGCCTGGCACACAGGAGTTGCAAAAGTATTTCTGGAAGTAAGGAACGAATGAAAGTTGGGTCTATACAAGTGATTTCATTTTTGCGACAAAATAGTGTTTCCTGGCTACTGTCTTAGCCAACAGTTTGCCAATAAGAGATACCTTTCACCAAAATAGTCTGTGTTCATCTCTGCTGGAATTTCATCTTTAACCTTAAGGCCAAGGTGACCACAAAATTTGCCTTACATGTCTGCTGCTGGGAGGTGTGTTTAATTATTGTGTGTTTTTGACAGGAAATAGAATTTATTCCTCAAGCTTGTAATATTTGATCCCTGATGATATCATCACTAGTCCAGTTATAATTAACTCGCCTGGTACAGAAATAGGGGAGAAACTCCTAGAGTTATGAAAAGAATCCGTGTGCCTTCCCTCCTAGCATAAGTTTATATAAGTAAAAGGAAAATTAAATTAAAGCAATCTGTGGTTTTTTTGTAACAGTTTTATTGATAGTTACTTCACATACCATAAAATCCACCCTTTTAAAGTGTACTATTCAATGGCTTTGAGTATGTTCCCGGAGTTGAGTAACCATTGCCACAGTTTTTTTTATTTATTTTTTTGCTGAGGAAGATTGGCCGTGAGCTAACATCTGTGCCAATCTTCCTCTACTTTTTTTGTCTATGGGCCACCGCCACAGCATGGCTCCATGAGTGGTGCATAGACCCCGAGGATCCGAACCCACAAACCCCAGGCCACCAAAGTGGAGTGCACGAACTTAACCACTACACCACCGGGCTGGCCCCCACAATAAATGTTAGAACATTTTCATCACCCCAAAACAGAAATATTGAGATGTTTAAACAAAAACGTGTACATCAGTGTTCATAGCAGCATTATTCACAATAGCCAAAAGGTAGAAACAACCCAAATATCCATCAACAGATAAGTGGATAAACAAAGCGTGGCATATCTATACAATGGAATATTACTCAGCCGTGAAAAGGAATGAAGTTCTGGCACGTGCTACAAATGGATGAACCTTGAAAACATTATGCTGAGTGAAAGAAGCCGGACACAAAAGACCCATAAAATATGATTCCACTTACACAAAATGTCCTGGATAGGCAAATCCATAGAGACAGAAAGTAGATTGGCAGTTGCCAAGGGCTGGGGGAAGTGGAGAGGGGATGTGACTGCTTAGTGGGTATGGGGTTTTCGTTTGGGGTGATGAGCATGTTCTAGAATTAGATAGTAGTGATGGTTGCCCAATATTGTGAATGTACTTAATGACAATTAACTGTATACTTTAAAATGGTTAAAATGATAAATTTTATGTTCTTTTACATTACTCAGGTTATATTATATGTGTTGTGTTATAGATACCTTCTCACGATATAAAAAAAGAAACACTGTGAAATTAGCAGTGGCTCTCCACTCACCCCCAATATTCTCCCGAAGTCCTAGGCAACCACTGTTCCACTTTCTGTCTTAACGGCAGCTTCATTTTTAATCTCAGTGTAGAGCCTGGCACCTAGCAAGTTCTATATCAGCAAGGGGCTGCCGTTCTTGTTGTTATTATTATTTGAACTCTAACCAACTATAC